CTCTCTAATTTTCTAGGGAGCGCACGTGTCCTAAAACAAAAAAAAAAAAAAAAAAAAAAAGAAAGAAAGAAACCTCTCCCCAAAAAAGAAAAAAGGTCATGGAAGAATTTGATTCTTAAAATATTTATGAATGTCTCAGTCAGTGCTTCCTTCCGTATTCAACTTTCTGGCTGAATCAAATACATATCCAAATTTGTAATTAGGGGTACATTCTAGACAAATTCAGGCCTAAAACCCCAAGATGCCAAACATTCTAGCTTTGAGGACTAAGTTGCTGCCATTCTATTAGTTATTTTTATGAAGACTAAAAGACAACTATATGTTAATAGGTGTCATTTAAAAATCATGAGCTAAGATTAATGAAATGACTCAGTATAACTCATAAAACTGCTCAACTTTCCTCTAATGTATACCTGCTGATATGAAAGTATAGCAGAAACAGCCAGCCACCCAGTTCACAGTTCTAGGTTACTTACTACGTTGAAGCATCAGGCTTCAAAAGAACTTCTCCAGTGTAGCGAATAGCAACAAAAACGAGCTAACATGATAAAATTTTCTCTAAACTAAGGAGCACATTCCCTTTTATATCACTCTTGTGCAAACCAGTAATCATAGCACATACCACACACTGTTTTGAAATTGTTCATTTAGTTGTTATCTATCCCATTAGAATAAGGGTTAGCTTTCTATTCCAGCCTGCAAGCTAAGAATGATTTGGGCATTTTTAAATGATTGGAAAAAAACTAAAAGAATATTAATATTTTATTATGACTAAAAATCCACATGAAATTCAAACCTCAGTATACAGAACCACACTTATAGTTTACCCATCGCCAGGAGGTGAGGAGTTGCAACAGACCCCATGACCTACAAAGCCTAAATATTTACTGTCTGGCCCCTGGCCAAAAAAGGTGTATTGGAGTATAGCATTCTTGAGAGTCTTTGTCTAATAATCCTGACTTGTTCATGGTATAACCCTTATGCATAGCACTTTATCTGACATGCAGAACTCAAATAACGCTCACTGCAAATGAGAATAGATGACACAGCTTTTCTAATATGATGTCAGTTGATCTATTATAAACCATAGTATCTAGCTACACCTGCGCCTACAGGAAGCTAATGTGTTATCTATTGAATTAAAGAGATGTAAATGCTAATTAAATTCTACTAGCTAACTTATAATTAGCCCAACCACTAGATTATAATGAACACTACAATTACAAAGCACATTGCAGCTATGTCCCTATCCATTATATATTTACCACTTACCTTGTAAGAAAAGATGTTTACATTTAAAAATATCTGTATAGTAACTTACACCTAAAATTAGTTGTAAACATGAATCGAGAGTAACTTACTGGTAATTTTGTTGATTTAAAAACAGAAGGACTGGCGAGAGTTTGTTCATGAAGATTAGAATAATCACTGGGACTTTCAAAAGGATTTAAAACAGGGACTCTTCCTGGAGTTTCCGGTGTTATCTGCATTTTTGATTCTTTGACATCTCCCATAGCACAGAGAAAAAACTAAAAATAAAAATTTAATTATTATATATTATAAAACTACAGAATTCCATAGGTATAATTTTGACAAAATGTATTCAAGAAGCATACACTTCACAAAAGAATTAACACAAAACTTTACACTCTTGGGACTAATTTATAATAGTTTCCAAAATGTCATACCATACATTTTTCCAAGTGATTTACGAAATAACCTTGAAAGCTAGAGAGGTAAGATACTAGTGCGAGCATTTTGCAGAACCAACAAGTTCAGAAAAGATAAGTAGCTTTTAAACAGCTCTCAACCAAGTAAGAATGAGTTCAGGTATACCTTCGAGGCAACTAAATGTTACAGTAGGAACAAAATCCTTTCCCACGAAGAACTTGTATCTACAGTGTTTTATCATCTCTAGTCTATACGACTTTGAACATCCTTCAGATATGCCAGCAATCCCCATCAAACTGCATTTATTAACAAGCAATTCTCTACTAGGTGAGAAAGCTGTGCACAGATCCCATTCTTGAACATTAGTCCTTGACAGAGAAGTACCGCTGGCAGGGGCTAGGAGCCTAACTGCCTACCAGGGCCTCTCCTCAAAACCCCCCCTTTCGCCAAGACCCCCAAGGAATGGAAAGCGAGACTGCATTATTTCCAGTCAGAGGGCCACGACTAGAAAAAACGAAGACTCCACCTATCCAAAGTGGATTGCAGCTGGCTCCCTGGGTGAAGGGCAGAGGTGTCACCCGCAACTCCACGCGATCAGCATTTCTTGGCGCCCCTCTCTTCGGCCCCTACTCCCTCGCTGCCCCTGTTCACTCCGAGGCGAGCGGGCAGAGAGGTCTGGGGCTAGGAAGAGGGAACTCTCCAATTTTAGACCGGAGGAAAGGCCAGGAACAACAAAGAACATACCTACTGCTGTGCCTAAAAAGGAAGCCCCCGACACCAACTCCAGGGTGCTCGGCGGAGACAGGCCGGCGCCCACGACAGGCACAGACTCTTTAACTCCCCGCTTCCGCGCTGTCTTAGGCCAACCAGGGCACGGGACTAGTGGGCGTCCGGCCAATCAGGTCGCCCCGCTGTCCGCGAATCAGCCAATCGCATCGAGGCCGCGTAGTAAATTCGAATGGCAACTCCTCGCTCTAAGTTCCGCGCTGAGTAACGAGGCTCCAAATTCAAATCAACGCAGCCTCACGCCGGCGACGAGCGCGAGGGGCGGAGCCTGCCCGGCGTGAGCGGGGGACGCGCGGTGTGATTGCCCGGGAGAAAGGAAGGCGCTCCAGTTCCGGGTCAGGTCCCTCTCCTGCCTCCGTCGGCCTCGGCCATGGCGAGTAGTGGCGGCGCCGGGGCAGCTGCGGCGGCCGCGGCGGCGAATCTGAATGCGGTGAGGGAGACCATGGACGGTGAGTGCCCGTTGCGCTCCTTTACGTCGCGTCCCCTTCCTAGAGCCGAAGCCATCAGGCGGGGCGGGGCCTGGGAAGGACGTTGGATTCCCTGCCAGCCCCGAGCGGCCTCTTGGAAGATCTTCCATAGGGACCCGCCTGGGCCGCAAGACTGCTGGTCCCATCCCTTGAGAGTTGTTTCTTCGCCCCTGCGCAGTTTGTGGCCGCACGTCGTTTCGGCCGCGCGTCAGCCCGTCGCGCGTGATCCCGCGCCACATCCCGCGCGACCCTTGCTGTCTTAACGTAACGGGCCCCGCGCGCCGCGCCCACCCCAGCATCTCCCGCGCTCGCGCCGTACCCAGCTCCCGCACGCATCCCGTGCGCAGCACCTCGGGAGCCCTAAAGACTAGAAACCCGTGCGGGTGTGTGTGCCAAGTGTGGTCACCGTCGGTTCCTTGTCCCAGGCACTTCAAGTAGGCGCTTTGAAATTAGGCGGGGAATGAGTAAGTCTCCCCTTGGTCGGAATTGCGCGGTTTCGTCCCGAAGTGGTGACGCGCCAGTGTCTCTGGCTGCTAGGTGTGTCCCTGCCTGTTTTCCCGCCCTGAGGGTCACAGTGAAAGCCTGCACACGCACAGTACACGAATAAGCTGTGCCAATTGATACCCCCGTGCTGAGCTTGGACAGCTACTTAAACATCTTTGAGCCTATTTCTTTTCTCCTGTAAAAAAAAATCTCATCTCCCAGGATTATCTGCAGATCAACGTAAGACAACTAAGTAAACGCAAAAGGAGTTCACTTTTTTTTGTATTATGTAAAACGTCATCCAGTAAGCTTTCTTTGTCTCCATTTTTCTCAGTCCACCTGTATAAGTGATGTTAAGTGTTGCCATGAGCAGCCTGCCTCCACATTATCCAGGGAAAACCACATCAGCCTCCATCCCTATTAAAAGATAACCCCATGGAATTTGCATCAGATAGTGTCAGCCTTTCTGCTGTATCTCCTGCACCCTAGGCTCCAGTTCTTACATATACCCTCCATACAGGGGCTTCTGACCAAGTCTGGTTTTTGCCTACACTGGCTGCTGCTTTCCTTGTAAAAGAATTGCTTCAGTATTATCCGAGCCTGTCCGTATAATTTTTTGCTTATCTGATAACCAGTTTTTTCCTGAGAATTTGACTTTTAGCAATAGCCACAGCCATTTTTTCCATTCTTGATGTTTCACAGTGTATGAGGTTTGTTTGGTTGATTTTTTTTAAGAGGTTTTTCATTATAGGGCGCGTGCGCTCACCAGACAGAGAGACAGAAAGCGAGAAATCACCCCCCAGAAGGGATGACCACCCCGCAATCCCTTCTCCATACTCCTCTCGGGATCTTGGGCATGCACGCACACGCATCTGGCGTGGGTTTTAAGCCACCGGGTCCGGACAGGACAGGAACCGCTGTCGACTACGTGGGAGTCCAGCGACATAGCCATTATGCTAACTGCTGGTTCCCTGGTTGGTTTTTTAATTGCCCGAAGGCCTTCACCAGAGAAAGCAACCCTCAATGGGGCATGGTCATGCTGCAGTTATTTTTTCTTCTCATCAGACTTTGGGACGCAAAATCATACGCTAGCCATGTTTGTCAAACCTCTGGGGCCAGGTGTTCTTTTTGTTTGTTTGTTTGTTTTTAAGTATAGGGGAATGTGCTAGCCAGAGACTGGGGGTCAGGGATGAGAAAGCAATCTGTCAGTGGAGATGGCCACACTGCAATCTCCTTTTCCTCCATTCTCCTCTTGGGACAGGAGTTAAGCAGTGATGGACCATGCGGCTCCCAGTGCACAGCATTTAACCACTATGCTAGGGGGCCAGTCCATTAGTTTTATTTTTATAAGTGGATTTATTTACATAGGAATTTATATGTATATAATGTTATCATGTATCTTTCCTTGGAAAGTCAGTGTGTTTAGTTCTTTGTTTGTTTTGGTTTTTTTTGAGAGGTTTTTGCTATAGGGTACGTGTACTCACCAGAAGGACAGAGAGAAAGACAGAAAGGGAGAAACCACTTCTCAGGGGGATGGCCACACTGCAATTCCTTCTCCTCCATTCTCCTCTTAGGATCTTCAGCACGCATGCACACACCCCTGGCGCAAGTTTAAACTACTGAGTCCAGGACTTGAACTGCAGTCAACCACATGGGAGTCCAACAATGTGGCCATTATGCTACCTGCTGGTCCCATGTTTTGTTTTGTTTTGTTTTGTTTTGTTTTGTTTTTTAACAGGTTGGAGAGTGTGAGGCCTCACTTCCAGGAAATTTTCTTATGTTAGCTGCACTTAAGGTTCCTCGTTTATATGGCCATAGGATCCCATTTGAATAGAAAGCTTGAATTTTAATTCTCATGGAATAACCCATGTACACTTGGGAACTAGTAGTTTGTACTGGTTGCATTATCAAAATCTTTTCCTAGAGAACTCAATGTAAAATGAAGATCATAGAGAGTGTAAGAATGTGAAAAAGTGAAGAGAATTTTTTAAGAAAAATATTGCAGAAGCGGATATGTGGAGTTTCATTATATGTATTAAATCAATCATAAGAGCCAATGAGAAGTTTTCAGAACTTTTTGAGTTCAGCTTCTGTCCTCAGTGACAGCATTGGTAACTTTATTTATAATTTATTTTAATTTGACCAGAGAGGGACAGCATAAGAGCGAGAGAGAGAAAGCAAGCAAGCTGCCAGGTCCAGGACTTGAACCACTATCAGCCATGTGTGGGAGTCCAGTGCCACCAACCACCAAGCTACCTACTGGCCCCCAATTTAAACTTTTAATGGATGTCAGTGGTTTGCAGGATTGCAGAATCAGCTAGCAATATAAACATTCACATCTTAGTCCTGAAAGGAAAGAAATTTATTAAAGTTATTCAAATATGGGAGGAAACAGATGAGATTCCTAATTTATCTCAGTAACTTGCTCTGAATAGAACCTGATCTGTCCTGGTCCTGATTTAAGGCCTAAGGCATAAGATCCTCTACTCCATCTTTAGATCCTTAACGTTTCTTTCTGCATCTTTTTAAAACAGACTATTTTTTTTTTTTTTGGCAGAGGTTTTTGCCATAGGGCGCATGCGCTGGCCAGAGAGACAGAAAGCGAGAAATCACCTTCCAGGGGGGATGGCCACGCTGCAATCCCTTCTCCTCTATTCTTTTCTTGGGATCTTGGGCACGCATGCACATGCACCTGGTGTGAGTTTAATTCACCGGCTCTGGGACTCAAACCGTTGTTGACTACATGGGAGTCCAGCGACATAGCCATTACGCTAACTGCTGGTCCTAAAACAGATCTTTTCAACAAATCCCTCTCTTTCAGTGTTTTAGTTGCCTTTTTGGCTTTTTGTTGTTTTGAAATTTAAAATATTCTCTATTGAGAACCTCATACTTCTTGTTTCTTTTTTCTTTTTCTTTTTATTAAGGCCAGAAGGTGCTTGTGTGAGAAAAAGAAGGCATGAGTGTACCCACACTCCCCCAGAGAGACCTGGACATGCCACATTCTTTTCCTGTGCTGTTGGGCCAGCCCCTTAATTTTTATTTCTTTTATTCCTTTTTTTTTTTTTTAATTACCAGAGAGTAGATGTGCTTGCCAGGGAGAGACAGAAGCATGGTGTACTGAGTGGTTATGCAGCAATCTCTTCTCCATTTCTCCATCCTGTTGGGATTTGGGACATGCATGTACATGTACCCAACATGTTTTTCAAGCCACCAGGGCCAGGGCTCCAACTGTGGTGGGCTATGTGAGCTCTGGCTCCCTTAACCACTAGGTTACAGGCTAACCCTGTACTTCTGTTTGGTACTTCTTACCAGAGGCCCCAGTGTAGTACTCCTTTTTATGCATCAGGTAGTCAGCTTAATAAGTACATACTTTATAAGAGTTAAGAGAGTTTGTAGCACTTGATTCCATTTGGCTCGCAGTGCAAGGCATGTCAGTGAAATGGGTGGTCCATGCCACCACCATCAATCCAGTTGCTTACTTGAGAGGGAAACCTGGTTGTCAGTCTTGCTTTCTCTCACCTTTGTTGCCTCCTATTCTTTGCTAAGCCTTTTCAGTTCTTTACCTATCTCAAAGTTAACCACTTGTCTTAATCTCTGTTGTCCATGCTGCCTACCAGGTTTTCACCAAAATTACAATAACAATGGGCTTCTTCACTCCATGTGCTCTTTTTTTAAAAACCCATTTCTGTGAGCAGCCCAGTCTTTTAAAAATGGAAACGTGATCTTGTTAAACTCCCACTTTATATCTTCCAGTAACTTCTTGAAGTTCTTAAATCTTTAATAGGGCTTTACTGGATCATATCTTACACTCATTTACCCCTTAATTAGATTGCTTCACTGAAGCTGTTCAAGTCTGTGAATTTGCCAAGTTCCCTCCAGTGTTGGAACCAGGGCAAAGCTGGTTTTTTTGCTCTAACTCTTCACCCTTCTTCCTACCTCTGCATCCCTCTGCTTGATTTCTATTCACCCTTGAAATCTGAGCTTAATTGTTGTTCCTTCAGACAACTCTTTGCTAAACACTGTGTCCTTCTGAACTTGGTGTGATGTCCTTATACCTCATTTCAGAAGTATGCTGTTCTTTTTCTTTATTTAACGTATTTTTAACAGGAATTAGTTATTTTAAAATCTCTCTCCTGCTTAGACTACAACGTCTGCAAAGATGGAGACCGTATCAATCTTGTTTTCTACTATATTTCAGCAGTAGCATAATAGGCACTAAATACATAAATGTACCAATTACGCAAAGGCCTTTAGAAAATAGTTATTAATTGCAGACAGTTGGTGAAGATAGGAAGTAAAGATCAGTATCAATTTAAAAGGAAAGTGTAAAGGGAGAAATACTAGAATGAAATGGACCTTTAAGACAGCATGGAATTACATGAAGGGAAGAAAAAGAAGCTTAAACAGGATGTGAAGTCAGGAATAAGCACAAAATTTGCAGATAAGGGTTTACCCTGAAGAGAAAAACTGGAGAGAGAAGAGTTTGTCAATACTTAATG